ACTCCACAGCAGCTAACAACAAAGATAGAGATACATTTTACTAATTATGTCATGAATGATTGATGCTACATTTTAAATGATAAATATCTGTTTAGATGGATACATGGAAAAAAATCCATTAGGTACATGTTGTATTTTTTAACTAATTTTGTGAATCAATTTGCCCACATCTTTTCTCTGACTACTTTTGAAGTGTTTTTAGTTATGCAAACCTCTCTGACTCTGACTGTCAGAACCTTTTCTCAAATGGTGATAACAATTGTATGTACCTCAAAAGGTGATTGTGAGAGCTAAGAATGTTAAAACATGTAAATTACTAGGAACTGACACTTATAGTCACCCAAGAGCTCTCAACATTTGTTAGCTGTTAATATTATTGTCACCATTGTTGCAATTGTTTCCATTGTCTATACTTTGGGTTCTTTGCTTCTGGCACTAGGGCTCAGGAAAGTTTTCACAAGGCTATAAGTATGGGTTAAAGAATTGAGGAAACTTTAAAGCTAGAGGTCAGCAAGAAACAGTCATGAGTCCCTTGGCCCTCCCACTGTAGCCACAGATAGGCATGCTGGGGACTGGGTCACTGTACACATTATAGGTAAAAATTTCAGGCAAGGGATACCACTCTCTTGTCACTCCCTTCTTTTATAGAGCAAGTGTAAGGGCAACTTTACCATAAAGGAATAAGCAACTTCTCAGATCCCAGAAGTCTGGATTTTTTTCTCTCACTCCCATCGAGTCAATTCCAACTCATAGCAACCCTGTATATGGTTTCCGAGGCTGTGAATCTTTACAGGAATAGAAAGCCTCATCTTTCTCCCTAGGAGCAGCTAGTGGGTTTGAACTTCAGACCTTGCAGCTAGTAGTCTAATGTCTATCCTACAGAGCCACCAGTGCTCCTTACTCTGGATTTGGGTGTCAACTATTTACAGGAGTTGTCTGGAAAGACCAGCTTCCCAGCAGCCAAGGATCTTACTGCCTGTGAGAAACCATAACCCCTCTGGGCAGGAGGAAGAAGCTACCAGCCTCCTGGGAAGCTGAATTTCAGTGAAGTGCCTCCCTCCTAGAGAAGGGCAAGCCGTCAATCTCACCTGGATCATTGTTCAGACAAACTAGAATGATATCACGGACTCAATCTTGGGCAATTCCACTGGGTGCATCAAATATTTTATTTTATAAATATGAATCGTTTTCTATTTTCTTTAGTATGGACGTTCAATGCTATCATCATTATGCTTTGAAGCCATTTTGGGTAGTTTGAGACTACAAGCTTGCTAAGAAAACTGCTCTTCTATCAAAATAAGTCCAAAAATTTCTTCTAATACCTTTTCTTCTGGGTCATTTTATGAACCTCTCAAGCACCTCACTAACTGATGGGAATGCAAAACCTGGAGGCATACTTCCTGCCTTCAAGTATGTATAACCTTACAGGCAAGGCAGATGAAGATATTACAATACAATATAACAGATGCAATAACCGATATGTGTACAAGACTTTGAAGCATTCAGAATGACTGTGGTCAATCAGCAGATTATATTTTGCAAATCATAAAGTGAATGTAGGAACTCTGGTACTGTAGTGGTTACGAATCGGACTGCTAACCTCAAGGTCAGCATTCGAAACTACCAGCCATTCCGCACATGAAAGATGAGGCTTTCTGCTCCCATAAAGATTTACAGCCTTGGAAACCCCATTCAGGGTTGCTATGAGTCAGAACCAACTCTGTGGCACATAACCATTACCACCATCAGAGTGGATATATTTTCGACTTATCAACTATTAAACTTAGAATCCAAATAAAAATATTAAAGTCCAATTAGAAAAATGCTATGATAAAAGATAACATGGTTAAAGAAAAGAAAAATAGGTGTCAATTCCAGCTCATATTGGCCCTGAATTCCAAAGCTGTAGTCCTTACAGCAGCTGATTGCCACATCTTTCTCCTGCTAAGGTTTCCATCCACCTTCCTTTTGATTAGCAGTTGTGGCTTAACCAATGCACCACCAGGGTGATGGTTGATTATAAAAGTGAAAGGAAGATATTATAAGAACTGAAAAGCATTTGAGAAATAACCAGAAGCAAAGTTTGAAAATTGAAAGGTACTAAGTCCAAATTCCAGCTCTGCCATCGAACTGCATGAGTTCAAGAAAGATGTTTAACCTATCCAAATCTAAATTTTCTTATTTAAGAAATAGAAATACAATAACTACCATGTTGGTTTATTTTAACAGTGAATGCAAAAAAATACACCAAGTACCTAGCACATGATGGTGGTGGTGGTAATGGTGTGCCGTGGAATTGGTTCCAACGCATAACAACCCTGTATAGCTAACCTGGTGTTTAGCTGCTCAATGCATAACCTACTATGCCACCAGGGCTCCTTACATAATAAATGTAACTGTTTTCCCCCTAAGATTATAACCCATTTTATTCATGCACTTATAATTAGGTAACTGTGGCCAGCTGACTATAGGACTCTCCTAGAATGTTAGTGGTGGTTTTAGCTCATAGTGACTTTTGAGTTGGGTTTCTGAGGATGTAAATCTTTACAGAAGCAGAAAGTTTCATCTTTCTCCCATGGAGCAGCTGGTTGATTTGAACTGCTCACCTTGTCGTTAGCAGTTCAACAACCCATTATACCACTAGAGCTCCTAGGGTAGGATTTTTAAATTGTTCTAAAATGGATTTCTGTCCTATTTTTCTTAGTTACTTTTCAAAACTCTTCTCAGTAATTTTGATGCATTATAAGCATTTTATACACATCCCGATTTACTAAAATGTGTAGCAAAATGTCTTAAATCCCATGCCTAAGTGGTTGCAAAAGTAGTCAGAAAACAGATGAGAAAAGATCTTGTTAAATAACACACTAGAGAAGGAATAGAAAAATGCTGACATTCTGACAGGTTAAAATGTTCTGGTCACAAAGACACTGATAGGACTGTGAGAATTCCCCTATTACTATAAAAGTTAAAGCTTAGCATTTAAAAGGTTCTTGAAGACTTATTATTACTTATCTTTACAAAGCGCATTTAGCATAAATTATTGACATTAAGATCTGTAGTGAAATGTTGTCAATTAAATGCTATATTAAAATAAGGATGTCAGTGATTAAAAAAAAGGAATTACAAACCCAAATTACTGATTTCTACATGCAAAAAATGTTGAATTAACAAATGTTTTATTAAGTACTTTTTATCATAGTTTTTAAAAAAGAAATTGTAAAATTATATAAATGGTGCCACAATAGAGATTTCTGTTAGCAATATAACACTTATAAGGAAAGGAGGGAGCCTATTTTAAAATATTACTCAATTACTCAGTTTTCCCACCTCAAAAATGGAGAAAACTTTACTAATTTCTCTCTTCACAGATAGCATAAGAATAAATGTTCATAAGAATACTTTTGAATAAGAATAATTTTGAACTTTCCAATAATAGTTTTGAAAATAAGCTGTCTAGAACCTATCCAGAGAAGCAGTGATACCAAAAATGGAGGCAGAGATGAGGACATGGAGAGAGAGAGCAGCTGAGGACTCTAGACTCATGGAAAGAAAAAGACTGTGTGCTGGTGACCAGGAACTAGACTTACAGAATGTGCTCTTTTGTGTTTTTGTGTACATCCAAAATCACACCAAAAAAAAAAAAAAAACGGAATAGAAACAAATAGTGTTGAATGATGATACACAGAGGGGATTGTAATCATTGCAATGAAATGAAATGCGATAGGATGAGTGTAAAACTGACTTTCTCCCATTTAAATATCACTCAATGCACAATAAAAACTTAAGAAAGAAAATAAGCTATCTAAATTCAGCATCAATTTCACTGCACTATTAGGAAATTCCATGTAGGTCATGTAATAAGCAGATGAATAACTTACCTTATTTTGTGTGTGATTTCCTAAAACCAAGAAAAGTACTTATTGCTATTTTTCTTAACTTCTATCTCTTATAGAGATTCATTCTCTAGAGCTGCATTGCCCCATACAATACCAACTTACCCGTGTAACTATTTAAATTTAAGTTTTAGTGAACTAAAATTAACAAAAATTTAAAATTCAGTTCCTCAGTCATACTAACCAAGTTTTAAGTGTTCAATGACCACATATTGGCTCCCATGTTGAACTGAGATAATATTTCCATCATAACAGAAAATTCTATTGGAGAATGCTGCCTGAAAGTATGCTCTGGCTGAATGCTCCCTATTGTTTTGTGGGTTTAAGGTGGCCATTGATTGCATTTCAAAAGCTAAATGACTTGGGGAGTTATTTAGGACTTCATAATGGTGTCAGTGTTTGACTAACAGGAAGCCAGAAATAAACGAAAAGTAATTAAATGGGTGCTAAAAAGCACTCAACCATAAGGTCGATTTGAACTACAAGGTATGCAGGTCACACTCACCAGCAGCTCCTCCGAAACACTATACAGGATCCCTATGAGTCACAACAACAACCAAGAAAGAAAGAGTGACAATTAGGAAAAGAATGGACTTTGACATAATTATAAAAGGAAAAAAATTATTCCAGAGATCAGTGCTTCAACAGAAGTGCAATTTTACTTAAAACATTTGTCATGTGTGGTTTACACTGAAAGTATTAAACCTGTACTGATTTTCTGATTCTATAATTGGATTTTGAGAGAATGGTAACCTGCCTTTTATACTGGTTCTAATTGCCTTGCAGTCCAGTGCTGATCCTACAGTGCCCCACCCAGAGTCTACTATACTGGTGTTGTTGTTAAGTGCCATTGAGTCGGTTTCAACATAGAAACCTTGCGGTTCAAACCAACCATGCGGTCCAGCACCATGCTTATTTTCCTCTTGTAAGATCAGCGCATGCTATGGAGCTACTTGCAAGTTTGCTTACAGTTTTTGTATTTATCTTTGTGTGGATCACTTTTACTTGCAGTAGTAGTAGTGCTTGGATGAAAAAGGAATTATAATTTAACATATGTACTATTTATGTCGGAAAATAAAATACTAACCTGTATATGTTTGTGTTTAGGTCATTCTGTCTATTGAAGAAGGCTATAGACTTCCAGCTCCCATGGGCTGTCCAGCATCTCTACATCAACTGATGCTCCACTGCTGGCAGAAGGAGAGAAATCACAGACCAAAATTCACTGACATTGTCAGCTTCTTAGACAAACTGATCCGAAATCCCAGTGCCCTTCACACCCTGGTGGAGGACATCCTTGTGTAAGATGCAGAGTGTTACTTTCTTTTTTCCCCCTTGACAATCATTGTGTCTTTCAAGATATAGACAAAAATGCAAGGTAGAAATGAGAAATTTCATCTTGATAAGCATCTAGTTGTTGACCTTTTAGAACATTTTGTGTAAAGCATATTTTAGCAACTGAAAAAAGTAAATTATTAACATTGAAGAAATAAGTGATTTTTTTTTTCACAAGAAAGCAGTTTCCTCCTCTTTTCTCCCTATATCTAATCTTTCTGAATTAATTCTTATATATTTTTTCTGTGTGAGTCTTTGGTATTTATATATCATTCATTTACTTACTGATCCTTCCTTACCATTGTATGTAGAATTTGTATGTGGCTGCAGCCCCTCTAATTTTCTTGTCCACTCTATGTCCTGTCTGTCTATTTGAAACACCAAGTAAGACAGGGGCAATTTGTAGTAAGGATGTTTCCTGCCTATATGATCACCCCCAGTTGTTGTTACTTTCCATCCTGAAAACCAGAAAAAGACAATGACAAGATAAGAAAATGAAGGCACTCATATACCATTTTATAAAAGTCACTGGAGTTGAGGAGATTTACTTACCTCCCTGAAAAGCAATTATAAGAAGGGGAGAGTAAAAGAAAAATAGACTAATATCTATACCTGAAAATATTGTGTTTAAATATCATTAAGCTGAAAATATATTCTTTATTTAGGCCAAATTAGAAATAACCAAAACATTTCCAAAACTCACTTTTCCTTACCCAGGAAATAGCCAACAGCATATGCAAACATTTAATTTTAGGTCACAGATTCAAGTTAGTGCAAGTTTTGTAGTGAAGGAAGGCCAAAGGCTCTTCAAGGACTACTTGAAGCAGGTCTCAGTTCACAGCAGAGCACATACAAGTTCACCGCTAAATCACTAATTGGCAGCCTCAGTAAAGTGAAGCCAAGCATGAAATAGCTAGAGATTAAACTATTACTCTAGCCCATCTTCCCTTAAGCAGTCCAACATAGGGAGGACTTAAAAAAAAAAGAGAGAAGAAGAACAGAAAGAAAGAAAAGGAAAAAAGCACAGTAAAGGCACTTTGGATTTTATTTAAAAAAAAAAAAAAAGGGCAGCCATTGAAAGATTTTAAGCAATAAAATAACATGATCATATTTGCATTCCTGAAAGATCACTTTAGGGATAATTTAGACTAAGAGTGCAAAATGACAGAAGACTGGGAAGAGCAGCAGTTAGATGTTTGCAAGCCCAGCTAGAAAAGATTAGAACCGACTTAAGAATGGGAATAAGCTTGAGGTTAGGAGATAAGAGAAAACTTTTATTATTAGAGTTAGGAAAGCCAATGTGTCTTAGTCATTGATTGAATATGGAGGGAGGAGGAAAGAAAAGATTCAAGGATGTTTGTCAAGCTTTGTTCTTAGACCAGCTAGTTGATGGTATTACTATTAGATAAGAGAAAAGAAGAGGGACACATTTTTTGTTTTATTTTGTTTCGCTAATGGAAATGAGACTTTTGAGCATGCTGAGTTGTAGATGCCTGTGAGACATCTAAGGGAGATGGCCAGCAGGCATTTACATTTATTGGTTGAATCTCAGGTTAAAAGATCTCAGCTAGAGCTGTAGATTTGGAAATCAGCATATAGATTGTAGCTAAAGCTTTAATGGTACTTAAAATTGCCTATAGAGAAGAATAAACAGAAGAAAATAATGTAACTCTCTGGAACACCAAGATTTAAGAAATAAACTAAAGAAGAGTACCCAAAGGAGACTGAGAAAGAAGACCCAGTTAAGAAATGAGGAAAACAGGGAAAAAGCCATATCATAGAAGCCAAAGGAGGGAAGATTTTCAAGGAGTTTAATGTCCAAGACTTCAGAAAGCTATGGGAAGACAAAAAGTGAAATGTGTCCATTGGCTTTGGTGGTAGTGGTTATATGCTGTGGAGTTGGTTCTGACTCATAATGACCCTGTATAGAGTTTCCAAGGTTATAAATCTTTATTAGAGCAGAAAGCCTCATCTTACCAGAGCTCCATGTCTATTGGCTTTATCCTTTGCAAGTGCCCTTACATTAAGTTGTATAAGAGAGGCTGTAATGTAGAAGAGTGAGTAGGAAGTCAGAGAAAAAAGCAATTACATTAGTACTTTTTCTAAAAAAGAAACTTGTCTCTGAAGGAGTGAAAAATAGAGATGTTTCTTGGTTTTTATTTTTATTGTGGAAGAAAATTGGACATGTTTCAATGGTGAGGAAAAAGAGCTAATAGGAATCACTGAATGAGCCCACATTAATGGAGGCATTTATAAACTGAAATCATTTAATCTGAGCCTCTTGTTACAGTAAGAAGATCCCACAGCCAGAGCCCATCAACAAAACTCAACTACTCCAAGGCTATAGAAGCAGGCAGGGAGGAGTCCAATGTAGAAACCTGGTAGAAAATACTTTGAAGGAAAGCCCATAAAACAGAGTTTCTTCCTTGAGTTTTGAAGATTATGAATATTTGCTGCATAATATTTTCAATATGGAAAATATTAATAAAGAATCTAAATTGAGAACATAAAAATTTAAAAAGAATCCATTGGTCAGATGTATATGGGGGTGAGGGGTTTTGTCATGAAGCCAGAAATTACTAATGAATGGAGCATGCAGTAACCTCATGGAACAAACCAATAGATGGTGGATTCTGTGAAAGCACCATCACAGGCAGGCTGGAAGTTTTTGTTGGGTCGGTTCCAACTCATAACAACCCTTTATAGGGTTTCCAAGTAGCAGCTGGTGAGTTTGAACTACTAACCCTTGTGGTTCAAACTGACTTTTTGGTCTAGTGCTTTATATAAAGCACTTAATCCATAGCACCACACAGGCTGGGAGTTAGGTGCTTTATATAAAGTTGGCAGCTTGATTCAATTCTAAAGTCTAATCTCTGGGAGACCAAATGGAACTTTGTATGACTGATTTGCTATCCTTGTTTCTGACAAAGATATATGTGTAGCTGCCTTTGCCCTTAATATATTTTCGTTTGAGAAACAAAAGGAACCAGAGTTCTCAGGGTGTCATGCATGAACCTTGATCGGAATTCTTACCGAATGCGTTCCCTTTGTTCATACCTAACTTAGTCCAAGGTACTGGGATATTCAAACTACACACTGGGACATGGTTTGGGATCTTATAATATTTTAGCCCTTAGATAATAGGAACCACCAACGTCCTTAGTTTCTCACCTCTAATGCCACCCACCATCCCTGTCCCTGATCCTAGAGAACTGGGACTGTTTAAGGGGAAGAGATGGGACAGATTGAGTAAAATAGATGTGTGCTAAAGAATGCTGCCTGGTTTCTTTTATGCTCATAAATCTCTGACACTGCTCAAACCTCTCAAATCCCAGAGACCAGTTGTCTGTCTCAGCATGATGTTAGGTTAAGGAAACATGAAACAATGTGAAATTTCAATCTTTCCACTCATGTAGCTCTCAAACATGTAAAGGACTCACTCTATTTAATCCACGGCCACTCTTATTAAAATCCCCTACAATCTCCTTTGCTCTAGAATTCCCAAGCACTCCGGCTCCTTTCACACTTCTATGCTGACATAACTCTCTCATCCACTGAGTCCTCATGGTTTGAATTCTACTCTAATTGCTTTTTTCTCAAGAATTCACTTGAGGTTTTATCCTTTTCTTGACAAAGTCATGAAAAGGAATAAAAAACTTAAAAGAACAAAGGGAAATGAGGAAAGATGGGAAAACCAAAGCTTCATAATTATATACTTGCACATTGGAAATTTCATAAACTTTTTATCTTTACTCTTTTCTTTCAAAAGGCAGAATATCTAACTGGGGGGGAGGGGAAATAAAGTTAAAATGTGGACAGAGAAGTCTTCGATTATTTGGAGCAGCAGTTCTGCTGATATTCTTGTATCTGACACATTCTCATAGGAATATTCAGAGTTCTGTGCCATTCCCAGCATGCTTGCTTTCTCTCCTATTCAAAAAAATATATGGATATGCGAGTATGAGTGAAAGTGGTGATACTATAGCCTTAAATCAACCCAATTGCATAAATTAATTTACAAATGTACTTATTAATATAGCTGGTCAATCTTTCACAAGTGTGAACATAAAACTACCCTTGCATTCATTCATTTTATAATAATGCCTCATAACCGCTTCTCAAATAATTATTTGGAACTGCCAAATGGTACACAGTCCTTGGGGAAAAAGGCTGGGCTTGAACCCTAGATTGTGTGGAGACTACCTGGGGCAGTGCCTAGCAAGCTACTCACAAGTCCCAGACAAGTAGACCCCCATAGAGTCCTGCAGTTTAATAACACAAAGTAGTCCAGTGGCCTATGGATGAGGGGACTTATATTCACTCTTACCTCCCCCACCCCACTCCCATTTTCTCACACATTCATTCTTCAATCTCACCAACCTCCACTTTTGCTTCTCTACACACCAGTCTGTCTACTTGGTTGCAGTCAGTTGACTAAAGTCCTTTTGAACAAAGCTGCTGTCTAATAGGAAAATAATGTTTTCCTCCAACCCCTGATCCAGGTCCTCAGCATATCCCTGGCATAGAGTTTTACAGATTAGGAACTGTTTGACCATCTGTTGAAAGCTGGTATCCACAGATGGGCAACAGATGTCCAAGAAGAGAGTGCCAGTCCCTAATATTGCCTGCCTCAGAAATCGTCTCTTGCCCAGTCCAAGAAACTTATGAATATTCTCACTACACATAAGAACATAGTTAGGCATCATAGTTAGGGATCTTATTCTAGTTCTCAGGGAACTGGAACCACCATCTTCCTTAATACGCAGGAGTCTAGAAATGAACTTTCAGTCACTTAACTGCTAGTATATGTGAATTATAAAGGCAGTGGAAAGCTCTTACCAATACCACAATAGAGAACCTATTTTCAATAACTAAGTAAACATTATAAAATTGAATGGTATTATGTCCTACCAACCAGTTTGTAAACTACCTAAAACACACTTTCTGAGGACATTTTCCATCCATT